TTCTCTCTGATGTATAGTACGTGAATGCCCATTGGAAAAAGCTTTAGGAGCAGAAGTGTGTTGCCCTCTACTATAATATTTCTGGAACAAAGTAATCCTGTATTTCGCCCGTTCACGAGCACACATGTAGATTCACTCCAGATCTCTTCGCCTTCACGTGTCCAAAGCAAATAAACTTTTTTTCTAAGAGTCGAGGACATGCTAGAGTCCTGTAAAACACGTACTGTGGAGGAAATTGTGTTTACATTAGTTCGATGACGAAACGTGTGTTAGGGCATAGTTGCTTTGAACATTACGACTTGGTGCTATGTTTAACTTTGTGGTGCTGTAGAATAGAGGTCTGAAGATTTTTTCCGTTCCCTGTTTCCACAAGCGACTCCGTCGGCCCCTGGTGTTTTTGAGCAACTAGACACTCTAGGCCCTTTTCGTTAACGGTATCATGGTGTGAAGACAGTGATAGACAATACTGGAAACTAGTAGTGTAACCTCAAATAATAGAGACTTGTGACATTCAGATGAACTCAAGACGACTTGTTTTCTATAGCGTGTTTGCAATGTCTGTCTGTGCTTCCAAGGTACCCTCTCTAAACTATGTTTGTGCTGATATTGAGACTATTAACCCAGCCTAAACGGAGAAACATAACCTAATTTAGATTAGTACACGCCACAGGACACATGAGAAGGAATCTGAGAGCATCAGATCACGAGGTGATCTTTTCTACACACTTCCTGTAGGTCTTTGGTTAACAGCACTGTTTTTCAAGCACACTACTGCAGGGGCGCTACCGTCTCATGTCACACCGCCACCTTTTTTCAAGGTAGAATTGCTACTAGTACTGTACAGTATAGCCATGGGTAGTCACCAGTCCACATTTGTAATTATCCTCCTCGTAGAAAGGAATCGGGAAAGCTCATACATCCTCTTCCTCGTGGGTTTTTAAGAATGGATGTTGTCTTCCGGGCTTTTTTTCCCCCTCTCTTTTGTTTTCCTTGCATCTTCAACAGAAACATGTACAGTGTTTAAGAGGGCTGCTTTGGATGTACTGTTAGCTCATTTCTGTTTGTTTTTTGATTCGTTTGTTTTCTCTCAATTTTTCTGCTTACAGCTTTTAGTGCATCACTAGGTGCTGGTAGGATGATACTTAGAAGAGATTTGTTTTTTTTTCCTTTCGTTTTTTTAAATTGTATTAATCTTGCATGTAGAGACAATACAAAAACGCCTATTTAGCAATCATTCATGGACATCCGAGCTGGTTGTTATTGGACGGAAAATAGAAATATGTAGTATTTTCTATATTCTCTGTTTTTGTGTACCAGCACTGAGAACTAGAATGTATTATTATCGTAGGCTACAATAAGCACTACATCGTTGACTGTTTTAGCTAATGCTCATACTCAAGCAAACCAAGTAGTGCTTAATTAAAGGAAGAAAATTTACTACATTTCATTTCACTTCCATCCACTGAACTCTGTGCTGTACATCACATGTTTACATGCTGTATTATATGTTTTTATTTTGTTTTTTTTTATGTGCATAATCTGTCTCCATAATGTTCATATGTAAATAATTCAAAGCAAAAACATTTGTCTGGTTTTTTTTTTGTAACTTTTTCTCTTTTTTTAAAAAAAAAACCAACAACAATAACCTGATGTTTATGTTTTGTTTTTGGTCAGTTTTTTAGACTTGTCTTTCTTTTCTGTCACCGCATCAGGTATTTATGCTTCACTTAACTTTTTGTGAGCAATTAACTCATACTGTATGGTGCTGTACCAAAGCCTTATGTATAATATTTGTATTACTTTTTTTTCTCATTTGCCACTGCTCTCCAGTGAATTCGTCTCAGATCATGTCTTACTCACTTTTCATGTTCAACTGCCATGGATCTTGTTTCTTTATTGAGTAAAACTGAAACCTGAATGAACTATGATGTAAAAAACCACCCTGGGCCGTTACCAACTGGCCTTGGATGTACAGCGGCAGTCGTTGCCATCTCAAGCCTTTATAGGGAAAACGCACAGGCTCACTTCCGGTGGCTCGTCATGACGTAGGCATGGGCTTAGCACATGCTCTATGCTCTATCTATGGCATGTCTGTGAGAATATGAAAGCAGTGTTGTGTTCATGTCACCATATCATTTCAAACGTTTAGTCCCATATGAAATTTTCCTCTCAAATTTTTGTATTTTGATATAATAAAAAAATCAAAAGAGGTCCTGTTTTTTCTGTGGTTTTGTGTGACCGGTGGAGAAGATGCTGTAGTTCATACGCTAGACACAGGGTGTAAGTGTTGGGCAGAGAGTGAGGATGGGATATGAGCAGCTTAATCAGGTCAGGGTTTTTTTTTCCTTTTTGTTGTTGTTGTTTTGTTTTGTTTTAATTCTAGGACACATGAGCAGGATGATTACAGGAGTGCCAGGTTTCGAATGACCTTTTTTCTTGAATTAAAAAAAAGAATAAAAGTTATCCTGTGAATGTACTCTTAGATCCGACGGACACAACCATGGAAGATCAAAGACTCGGTTCAAATGCATGCTTGTTGTTCAATAATTAATATCCCCACCCAGACTTTGAGGAATGAATTGTCCCGCGGCTGAGCCAGAACAAGGAAGACAAATAACCTGAAAGAGGATGAGGTCTGTCACACTGACCTTTGTGCTTTTGTTCAAATTCCCTCTGGCATGCTTGGAAGCAAACAAATGCAAAGCCATCTGCATACACCTTAGGAAAATAAAAGTTCACCTAATCCACTGGTCAAACCGATGACGTCACCTGCATTTCACAAAGAGTGCTGAATAGACAGGGTTAATTGCTGTATGTTATTCCTGCTGTTTAAACTATGGCATTTGTGTAAGTCAATAAAGCAAATGTGAGGGTGTTTTTATTTAAAGAAATGAACAAACATTATTTAACATTGAGTATTTGCCTAACAGTGGTAAGTACCACAGTTTACCCGAGGCCTGGGAGCATCAGATATTCATTACAATGATACTATGATATGATGAATGATATAGTCCAAAATAAAATACAAAAAAACCCATTTTAAATAAAATGTTTACATATCGGCAGTTTTCTGCCTCAGAGTTAGATGATAAGACCCAAATACATTTTGGATTTGTCTGGTAAATCCTTTAATGTGGCATAAGTACAGGATATGTGAGGGACAGGGGTGGTAAGTATAGCAGCTTTAATCTGTGAAAGGTGGCAAAATCTCCTTAATTAATTAGCACAAATTCATAAGCGGTGTAACTGTGCAAACAAGGTTCCACCAGGAAACCAGCTAATAAACCAAACATCAGTTTGTTTGTTTTTTGTTCAAATCACATTCAGAGCGACTGGACAACAGCAGAGTATCTGAAAGTTACTCCATGTTTTTGACCTTTAGAACAAAATAGTTACTTGAATGTGAGTGAAACATGAACAAGATGAACTGAAAACACACAGCAAGTGGGTGCAAAGACAAAAACACAGACAACTCCCAAAAACATGTTAAAGCTGTGGATGCATGACTAACGGCTGCATCCTGATTAACAGGTCTAGAGAACATAAATTCATTAGGAAAGGGTTTACTGAGGAAAAACAGAGTTGGATTTTGTGCGGGTGTTTTTGCATATTCACTTTGCTCTGAAACTTTGCATCTCTTAGAAAATAAAACCCTGGGAAAAGTTACAACTTTACTAAGTTAACATTATGAGGGGGTGACCGTGGCTCAGGGGGTTGGGAAGCGTATCTGTAACCAGAAGGTCGCCGGTTCGATCCCTGGGCTCTCTGTCCTGGTCGTTGTGTCCTTGGGCAAGACACTTTACCCTACTGCCTACTGGTGTTGGCCAGAGGGGCCGATGGCGCGATATGGCAGCCTCGCTTCTTTCAGGGCAGCTGTGGCTACAACCGTAGCTTGAGAGTGAATGAATAGTGGCATTGTAAAGCACTTTGGGTGCCTTGAAAAGCGCTATATAAATCCAATCCATTATTATTATTATTATGAGGTACATTAACAAGGCTAACCGCTGGGCCTAATGACTAAAACCCAGGTTTTCACAAAACTTTAACAGGAGTTGAAGTTTTATTGGCTTCTTACAGCAGCTTGAGCCTTTCCTGTGAGTTCACCACGCTGCATACCAGCAGCATCAGACAGCAGTAACACACATCTGTCAGGTTCTCCAAAGGGACAGACTTCAGCGGGTTTTCCCAGGTGGCCTAACAGTACTATCTTCATTTATTATTCACAACTATGAAATGTATAGCACAGGTTCAAACAGCAACTGGTTTGTCACACTTTCTATAACATCTGTCCTTTTCATCTTCTACTCAACTTTAAGTCAAATGTTTTTTTCTCCATTATTTTTATTTCACAGGTGATGTTATTACATATTCCAGTCTCCAGTGGATTATTTGCAGCAGTGACATTATTGTGGCTGTGGACGCAGCACTTTATGTAAATTAAGCCGAGCTGATGTTTGTGCAAGTTAGATGAGGCATTCATTCAAGCTGTTGGAGAGGCAGGTCTTGAGTAATTTGTATGGTATCCTAACTAGTTACCAGGCAGTAGATTTATAATCAAAATTAATTTCCACATTTTGTCCATCTCCATCATATGCTAGCTACTTTTGGAAGAAAAATAAATAAAGAGAGAGTACAAACTGTTCACAGTATATTATGATGTTATTTAATGGTGCCAAAAATGGCTGTGCATGAAAACAGAAGCTTCTGTTAAAAAGATGGATTCGATCCTATCAATTATGCTAGCTGTATAATCGATTTTTTAAATTACAGTAGGCCAGAAATTTTAGTACATGTTTGCAAGGACCATAAAAGGTCATCAAAAGGTCCCGGTGCTCCCACAGCCTAAAACAGAAGAGCTGAATTTCACATTAACTCCTTCAGTGGACAAGCACAATAGATGCTGTATTAGGATGAGTGACTTGCACACCAGGTTTCACTCCTCTCTGTTACCACCCACCTATTTTACAGGGTTATGTAATTCCTTACTGAGCATTACCTAATGCAGCACAACTTGCCAGACGGGGCTCTTCGGACTGGTGAATATTTCTCCATCAAGCGCTTGCACTACCCTCATGCCTGCCTCATATGTGGGTCCTTGACTTTGAAAGGTCTGGGAAGCCCTGAGGCTAAAAAATCCTAGGCGCGGGCACGAGGTCAGTTCAGCAGCGCGCGCTCCCGGCACCGAGTGTGCAGATTTCCCAGCCTTTCAGTCAGTCCGGTCGCGGCTCCCGGAAAGACTCCCACACTGCCTCAGCGATGCCGTACCCGGTCAACGGTTTTCTCCGCAAAACGTCTACCTCAGATGATCAGTCGTAGTCCGAGTGTGTGTCTGAGCCGCGCATTTCTGCAGTGCGATGCTGACAACATGTTTCCTCGTCGAGGAGCCCTGCGCTGTGCAGCATAGAGGAGGCAGCAGAGTGGAGCAGCGGGTACAGTTACAGGTAGGCTGCTGTTTGAGCAGGGATCGTAACTGGCTGTGCAGACATAACGACACCGGGTTTAATGTGCTGTCAACCGCCGAAGGTGTGACCATCGACCATCGCGCGTATTTTAGACCCCCACCACCACCAAGCTGATGAGCTTCTTTACATTAGAGTTGACTAATGATCGTGTGTTTATGTGTGCGCGTGTGTTGCGCACGCAGCTGACCGCTGATCTGTCAGGCCCAACAGGTCAGAGTACACAGGCTGTAAAGTTTTCCCAGTGGATCCCAGGAGTCGGTTTACGGGACTGCAATATGCGCATGATTGCATCACAGGGAATTAAAACTGACTTTGTCTGTCAAGAGGATTTCGTTGCTGGTGTGTGTCTGTGAATCACTGTTGTGCAGTGCGTGGACACAGTGTAACCAAGACTCGTGTTATTTACTGCAACAGTGCAACACTTGCCCTGCAATAAGTGTTGTGACACCTGCACTTCCTGTATTCGAATTTCTGCCATGTGTTTATTTATTAGTTAGAAAGATCATTAGTGTGTGAAGGCTAAGAATTGTATTGTAATTTGTGAGGCTGTGTTCATTATGTAAGATACGGCATGTGCGGTGGAGGCTTGAGTATAAAATAGCTGTAGAGTAGAAACAAACATAAAGCAACAGTTTTGAGTGAGATGCTACTGAAATATATTAAATGAACTGTTAATGTGTTAAATGTAATGTATACCAATCAAGTGAATTTCATTTGCCTAGATTCAATTAAATGTAAAATTTTAAATTATACTTATGTAACAAAATCACATGTAATTACATTAGTCAAACTCAGAAACAGGCAGATTTTTGAGTGAATGGTTAGTCAATCAATCCCTCAGTTAACTGAAATATGTTAACAACATTTGAGTAATCATATATATACATTTTAAATGGCTTTCTTTTTAAAGACTGCAGATGCACCAGTAAAGACTTTGAGCTATTTGGCATTCTGTACTAATGAACTATGTTTTTATCCAGTTGATGACATTTTACACAACTCCCAGAATCCACTGGGTCCAGTTTGTCACTCAGGAACAATTACGTTTGTAATGTCTGTAGGACAAAACGTGCTATTTACAGACACTGTTTTTGGCGTTAGGAGATAAATGCATTGGAGATGTCGTAAAACAAATGATTCATGGTAGAAAATATTATTTAGAAATGCGTGTTGGAGTGTGTGGGCTCGCTGTAATAACTGCATTGGTCGTATTCTATGGTAATGTGTATTCTGTGTAATGTGGTCCAGTCGACTGTACAGTACAGTCTTATAAATGCATTTCCACAGAACTGAGTCAAAACCTCCCTGACAGCTGAACATGAGCTTTACAAAGTTTGTAGCTGTTGCAGGGATTGCTGTATTAGATTGCACTAGATTGTAAAGGGAGCTGGGGTCTTGTCCTCTGGCATTCCTGCATTTTTTCTTTTTTTGTCTTACACAGTAAAATGGTCTTTTTTTAGACAAAGTAAACACTCGTGCTTATACTGGAAAGACCTTCATCTTACTGTAAGGGTTAGACTGTCATCCAGAGTGACAGATCAGCTTGTTGATTAAATATTTGGCTCTGTTGCATACAACTTAATCGCCCTGCTGGTCACCCCGCTCTCTGCCTGGCATCGGGGATCACTGTAACTCTGGACGTTGCGGGGCAAAGGCCGAGCTAAATTTAATCTCACTGTGGTTTGATTTCAAGGAGATTATGAGATCAAATGACCGCTCGCCACCACCATCTCCTCCTCCTCCCTCTATGAAGTGATTTGAGCCCAAGCTTCAGTAACTACGGTTGATTTTTTTTTTTTTTTTTTTAAACGGCATTGTCAGAGAGCAGTGCCTCACCTGCTGTCTCAGTTCTGCCGTCCAGAGAAGCGACAGATAGACTGTCTAGTGATGTGTCGGAGCTTCTGGCCAAAGGTTCCTCTGAGGCATCATTTGCCTCCTTGTGCTTACCTCATCCTCAGTCTGGAGGAGCATCAAGTCACGATGGACGGGAGAGAGGTTACCATGGTAACCACAGGGCTTTCTCCTCTGCGTCTCTTGCCTGTGTTGACTGCAATCCAGAGCTCAGAATGAGAGCATGAAACCAAGTTTCCTCCATGGGCCAGTCACTTGCCTTTTGGGGGGTTCTGCAGAAAAAAATAAAAGAATTTTATTAAAAGTGCAGTTTAAGCTGATACAGTCGGTATTTAATAAACTTCACAGATACCATGGCCATGTGTATGTGAAAGGGTCACTCGTAGTCTCGAACCCAGAGACAGTTATCACTATAGACCGTATATAAGAAATGGGCATCGTATTTGGGTCTGAAAAGTAGAACCAGTGCTCAAGGGTCTTAAACCTGCTTTCTTTCTAATAGCAACTATTGGCAACTATGATATAGTCATCTTGTTTTTCCATTCATGACCTCAGTAAACACTTTGCGAATATATTTATTGTCCCAGTCACCAGTTTCAAGTCTTATTGAATCCAACACGAAGTTCATTTTGGTAATCATTGTTCCATGTAAAGTAAATAAAGCAGAGTATCTGATTGGCTGTCATGTGATTTAAAGTCACAAGTTTATGAGTGTGCCGTGCCCTCTCTCCTTATTCGGATGCACCCCTCACATGTGAAATGTAGTTTTAAAAGACCCTGATGGTGACGGGCAATATGCTCCGCTCACAGATGAGTGGGTGGCGTCATGGTGACTCCTCCTCCCCATCTATGATTATCACCACACTTTGGTGTGTACCTCGGCTTCTCGGATACTTTCAGCTTTTTTCTAGCTCATTTTGGGTTTCTGACCTGCCAACTTTACTACTTTGGCTCATTCTAACCACAACAGGCCTGCAAACCTGCTTCACACAGCCCAGCTAACAGTGAAATACAGACACCCAAATGTGGTGAAAACAGCAGGACAGAGTGTAGCAGATTTACACTTATCATGTAGCCAGAAGTATTTGTTTAGGCGACTTCCAACAATGTGTGTTTTATCATCTGGCCAGTAAGGGATCAAATTTAAAAAGTAAAAATCAAATAATTAATAATTACAATGTAGCCTTATTGTTACTCTTTTTGCTCTTTCGTTAGACTTCTGCTAATTCCATAATGAAGGTGTGATTAGGCCATGTTACACTGTTTACTGTAGGTCCACAGAATGGGAGCTATTTTTGCATTCAATTTTTACAGAGAAAGGTAAAAAGACATTTTCATATTCCCTCTCCTTCTTCTTAGCTTCCTTCCTTCCTTGGCTTGCCTTCCTACCTCCTCTCATATGTGATAAAGTATCTGTGACTCACTGAGACACATCTGCTGTGTGTTTGTAGCTCCAAATATACAGGCAGTCATTCTTCTTGTCAGCATACATGCTGATAGCAGTTTCATAAACAGTGTGCACGACTGTGTAGGCTGCCCTGTTTTTCCTTAAAATGCCATCTAGGCCATCAGATACTGGGGTGACATCCTTTTAAACTCTCTGTTGCAGTCTCCTGACATCAGAGCAGCACTGCTTTTTTTCTTTTTTTTAAGTGACAGGTAGAGGGTTTCTTTATTTGTACATCTGGATTAGGTTTGCTTAACACACTGAAAGTGACTGATGGAGATGTGGTGGAAAGATGATTTCTGCTTGATGTACAGCAGCTCTGCAGTTTTAGTTACATGGTTTTGATGCCTGGTTTGGCGGGATGGTGTTTTTCTCACCTGTACGGCTGCATCAATATGTGCTACCTGTTTCATTGCCAAGATCAACTAGAGTAATGACTTTTTTTTACAGATGTGACAGCTTTATCTTTTTATAGCTCAAGCTATTTGGGGCAATTCCAAAATAGTCCTCCTGTTTTTTCTCCATGTGTTGTGATTTTCATGATGCTGAGAGGTGTTTGGTATAGCCCTCAATCATATGTTGCTGTCGGCTATCTTCAGCTCATCCCCCACAAGTTGCCAGGCTTCTGTTTCTGTCAGGCAGCTTTAAAGCACACAGCTAGCCCGCCTCCTCTGCAGTGTGCAGTACAGCATGTTCCTATGCTTGATTCACTGTCTTATGCGGTGCCATCAGCAAGGTCAGGTATTGTACCATGTGGCACACTTTTTTTTTTTTTAAATCATGGAATGCACGATAAAGGAAATATTGTAAACAATGAAGAGATAATGCTTGGATCTTTTTGTGTTAACCTAGATTTTTAAGCTGTAAATAGAGGCACTAATTTTATTACATGTGCCTCTAGAGCCACATTAATTGGCAGCATACTGTCTTCACTTCTAAATGACTTTCCAAAAAACATTCCCCCCGGTGACCCTTATGAAGCAGTGCTTGATGCAACACTTCTAAACAATAAATTAGTTTGCTGCTTGCTTGTATAGTACGTTGGCTCTCCTTTGGCAAGGTTGCAGTGTCTATTAGAGAGGAGATGCAGTATGAGATGTGGATGAATTGGAGTTTGATCTGGCCCATATTCCTGTCTGCCTGCTCACATTCTGCTGAGTCAGGAGGCTTTGTAGAAGGCCGTCAACAGCAACTCGGTGAGGCTCTGGGCCAGAGGGGCTGGTGGGAAACTGTTACTACAGCAGCAGTCAGTTGGGGCTGACGAATCTACTTGTTACTCCAAACATTTCTGTGCTGATTAGCAGAGCTGCTTAGGGAAGGTAAAACTGCCTTAGAGTTAAATGGAGGGATTTTTAGTGCTGGAGATGGACCTCAGAGGTGTGAAAAGAGGCTTGTTTTTTCCACCCACACGCCCTTTTAACATGCACTGTTTCACAATGCACACCCACATTGGTTAGAAGCTAGTTATGGGAAGATTGTGGTGCCGAGTTTGCTTAATCAGGGCATTTCTTCTGCTTGTTTACAGTACATAAGGAGGTCAGTAGTGATACTGGATTCCATTAGACGGTAAGATAGATCAGGGCCATATTGGTATGAGCCTTTCCAAATATGATGATTCTTACCATCCTTACACTTACAACTTTTTAAATATGAGTTTTGGAGTGTGAAGTTGGCATGTTCTCCTCATGCCTGTGTGGGTTCTCTCCTGGTACTCCAGCTTCCTCCCACAGTCCAAAGACATACAGTTGGTGGGATTAGGTTAATTGGTTATTCTAAGTTGCCTATAGGATTGAATGTGAGCGTGAATGGTCGTCTGTTTCCTGTGTTGGTCCTCCGACAGCCTGGCGACCTGTCCAGGGTGTATCCCCCTTCTTGCCCTGTGGTAACTGGGATAGGCTACAGACCGTGACTTGGAGCCAAGCCGAGCACATAAGAAATAACCCCAGACCAAAATTGCACCTGGACAGCACCAGTATGAACCTTATTTAGTTGTCTGTGACTTGCAACAGACTGAAGGTCAGTACAGGGTATACTCTATGACCTCGCAATGTGAGGTGGTGCTTTGATAGGGATAAGAAAGAAGAAAGTGTACTTTATTGATCCCCGTGGGGAAATTCCTCTCTGCATTTAACCCATTCACTCAGTGAAGCAGTGGGCAGCCATTGGGTGCCCGGAGAGCAGTGTGTAGGGATGGTACCTTGCTCAGGGGTACCTCAGGGTAGCTGTTCTGATCATGGGTTCACCACTCTACCTACTGAGCTATCCCTGTGATTCGAATCATCTCTATTAACAATTTGGATGCTCAGTTTAAACTTAAGCAGGTTGTTCTGAACATTTCTACATGCCAAAATTTATTGAGTTGTTGCCATGTGTGTTAGCTGATAAGATATTTGCATTTACTAGCAGCTTAACAGTTGCACCAAACAAAATGGCCAGTGAGTGGATATCTATGAGCAAAGATAATGATGCTAAGTGAACTAATTTTATCCCGGGGCTCATACTGAAACTGCCATGACAGCCTTGACGTTTTCTTGAAGGTGGATGTTTTCTCCAGCTAACTCCTGTCAGTGCAAAAATGATAATAAAAAAAAAGAAAGAAAGAAAAGAAGCTGATATTCTCATGAAATCATCTTATGAATGTGCCGTCTGACATTCTTTATATCCCTGAAGCAGCTCCTGGCACTGTAGCATGATGTCATCGCAGATTACAGTCTGGGCTATGTGAATTGTAGCCTTGAGAGTCGCGCACGCTGCAGCCTCAAGCGTGTTAACGTCTGGCGGCTTCATAGGATCGGACTCCTTCTCCCATGCTCTACTCTTACGCTCACCCACCCACTCTGGCTTTGTCTCCCTCCCTCTCCTCCCACTCACGTTTCTCTACAGCGGACAGTTGCAGTAAAGCAGCATCATGGAGGCTGGATGCGTGGTTGCCGCGGTGATTGAGAATGCTGCCTCAGGACCCGAGGGAGAACCAGGAAGTAGTGACGTCCTTGAGAGGTGAGTTGCTCTGTTTTTTTTTTTTTCTCACATCATGTCAGCTGATGTGAATCATGTAAAAACATAAAAATGCGTGGAGACAGACGTGTGCGTGCGTAGCTCTAACTATCATGTGCTTGTGTGCTCATTTACATGCGCGTTTGCATTTGAGATGCTGCATGAAGGAAGGTAAGAGCAGAACAGTGTTAAGGCTAAAAGATGACCCTGTCCCCAGAGAGAGAGACAGACAGACTGTCTCTGTTCCAAGCTTCATCATGTCCAGACTTTACCATATCTCTTCTTCTCTTATGCAATTCACTGTATCCCTGTGGATCACATAAATTACACTGTGTGTCTGTGTTCCTGGCCTGGAGTCCTGGTCTCATCATGCTGAATTACACTGACAAAACCGTGCTCTGTCTCTCTCCTGGCTTTGTTGCTCATAAAAGTTGAGCTGAATGGAACCTCACCCTGCCCTCTTGAATACACTGAGTCACATTTCAAGTGACGGTTTTGTGAAGCAGTCCCTTGTGGGTGAATTGTCTTTATGGCTCACTGAATAGTCAACCTTGGCTTTCCTAAGGGCATACAACAGACCCCAAATGTGCTACAGTTTGTTTTGTTTTGCTTTCAGATTAATCTGGATCACGGACATTTGTGCAACATATGTTTCCACCTTGACCTGATTGGATTAAACTAGTATTTTCACATATTTCCCAGTTATCATATGTGATGCAATTTAAACCTTGCAGTGCTTGTACAACATGTTTTCTGGGCCATGCTGTTGCAATGTCAGGATTTGAGACCAAGCCACACTTTATGAATTCCTCCTCACTTGCTCCCTCTGGTGTATTTTTTAAAAAAAAGTGACAAGCCTTATTTTAAAGTCTCCGTGGCACAGCAGTTGATACTGTGACATGTTATCTCTCTTTTATTTAAATTCCTGGCCTGTGTCTTCCTGTAGTGACGTGTTACCGTCTACCGAGCTGGACAAAGACGATGCCTTACCTCAAGCCACTAACAGTAATCCTCTAGAGGAGAAACAACCACAGGAGACATCCACTGCCATGGTACACGCCTACACACACACACACACACACACACACAAACACGCCTCTGACTCATCACTTACACAAGAAAACACATAAACACCAGCAGAGATGGATGTCTCCCTTCTTCCATGAGGCTGCACTGGTTCTGGAGGTTATTCACAGCATCTTGGCACTGAGGTCATATGGCGGACATGTGAAAGTCAGCTGTTATGTAAATTTAAGGATATCTCACCAGAGACTGAGGTGACATGCTTGATAGCAGCTGAGGTAAAGGTGTGATGATGTTGTCATGCCACAGACACATGATGTCATCTTTTCTCTCTGTTTGTCTTCTTATATTTATCTATCTAAAGGGGGATTTTAAGATGTAAAATTGGTGAATTTTGTTTGTTAATTACCATCTGTCTGTTTCTATCTCTCTCTATCCATATTAATCTCCCTTAACTCTGATATCTGCACATGAATATGCAGAATCTGTTAGCAAGGGACTTGCTAGATTCTTGTTCCTGGAAGCGTTCTGGTTTCTGCTTAAAGCAGTATTCACCATTTACATCTGGTCAATGTTAGACTGCAAGCAGGGAAACAGTTCTGTGAAGAGCAAAGGTGGGTGGCTGTGGGGTAGTGTCATTACCGTGGGACAGCATGTATCTTGTGCCACTACTTCCTGTTTGATTAACCGAACATAGATGCAGTTTTTAAAAAACCCCAAAAAAACTACTGGCTGTATGATTATTATTTTTTAGTTGCTTTTTAAAAATGTATCTACATTCTTAAACAATAACGACTACAAAAAACAGGAAGTCCTGGCACCAGATACCCGTTGTCCCGTGGTTACCTCCTGAGGGATTATTAGGCAAAGTGGTCACATGACGTGTGCATTTTTCTTTAAATGTATACTGTATTTTTACAAATAAAATTCCACGTTTGCATTTTGATTTTCAAGCTATGTACACGTGGAGTGGGTGGAGACAAGTGTGACGGAAGGATAGTGGCAAGAGTGTTAGGGGAAGTTTGCTCAGTGGTAGAGAAACCTGCTATAATACACGTTTGGAGACGGTGGCACTTACCAAAAGTCAGGAGGCCAAGGTGGAGGTTGCAGAGTTGGCAGGATTAGAAATGAGTACATCGCAGGGACAGCTCAAAGTTAAAGAGGCAAGGCTGAAATATTTTGGACATGTGCAGAGGAGAGATGGTGGATATATTAGACAAAGAAAGTGGATTATAGAGCTGCCAGACAGGAGGAAAAGAGGAATACTGCAGAGAAGATTCATGGATGTAGTGAAGGAGGGCATGCAGAGGGTTGGTGTGACAGAAGAGGATGCTAGGGATGATCTGCTGTGTCGACCCCTAAAGGGAACAGCTTAAAGAAGAACAAGATTACAGCTTATACTGCATTCATGCGTTCACTATTGAAAACTTGATTTCTAACTGGAACAATTCCAATGAACTCTGCCTCAAAATGAACAAGTTTGCTGCACGAGTTTTCTGAGTTGTTGACATCATGGTGGTATGAAATATGCTGAATAAAGTACATTTTTTGGTTCAAAGTAATGAACTTGATAACATCTGACTTGATAACAAGTCAGATAAAGCAGTATTTGTTCATTATGTACTAGAATATATATCTGTTCATTCATGTGCATGGCTTTCCAGCTCTATGGAGCACAATAGCAACGTAGTACAGTAACAGAATCCATGGAAAGGAAATGCCTCATGCTTACAGGAATTGCTAATATTAGTGTAAATGACATTTCAACAAAACATGAACACACATATGATAACACAGTTATAGGATAGCAAAGAATGCAATACACCACAGCATATAGTAATATAACATATTAGCCTTGCATACTATGCTGTAGCATAAAACTTATTGTACTGCTTAGAGTCACTCCTTTAGTGTGTAGCACTTCAGTTGTAGCACCTTCACTCTTTCATGTGATCGACATCATTACTGTGGTCACTGCAAATGGTTCTCCATCCGCTGTCCCGTGACTGACTGACATTTATCGAAGTGTGCTGTCTCCGTTTGGCAGGCAAGGAGCGATGACATCACAGAGCACCCGGCTGAGCCCATCCTGCGTTCCTGCGTCAGCACAGCCAGCATGAAGGTCAAGAACATGAAGAAGTAGGTGTTCCTGGAGACAGTGTTGCTGCTATTATAGGCTGTAAACCAGGCCTCTTATTCAGGCCACTGAAATGAGGACCTATAAAATGACGGGTGTGACACAGACAGATAAGTGAGTCTGTTATCATGTGCAGACCTAATCTCTCTCTACTTCTTCTTCTTCTTTTATGCCAATAGACTTTGCTCTTCTCTTTTTCAGTGTTTTGAATACTGATAAGTTGCTGCGTTTGCTATATATATTTTTTTGTTTTTGTTTTTCAGGCTGACTTTTCCCAGAGGTCACTTTCCCAGATTGGCAGAGTGTGCCCATTTCCACTATGAGACAGTTGATTTTGGCAATGTTCAGGTGAGACCTGAAAATACTTACAGCGTGACTTCAGCAGCAGAGTTTCTATGTTTAGTAATTGTGTCTTTGGCTCGAGTTCAGTGGCCGTTTTAGTGAATTGCTCCAGAAAGGAATCATTCTTTAAACGCAGTGTGGCAGCTGAATCGATAACCTTGTTTGCCTTTCCTGGACAGTTACTGCTCTATCCTTCTTTCTCCTTAAATGTCACAATAGAGCAAATAGTCTTTTCTATCCAGGAATTGTAGGATTTTGTATGAGACAAATTTAAAATCTCAGTCTGATAAATCACATGTTACGTGTGTGAGTGTGGCTGCAGTTATAGTTGATGCAGGGGAAGAGTTAACCTAAAAGCACAGACTAAACCTTAAATCCGCCTTCATAATACAGGCCTCTGAAGTCAGTGATTGGGATTCCTCTCCTTTAACCACATAATAAATTATTTGGACATATAGATAATTTTCTAGGTTTAAGAAAGACTTTGTTCAAAGCAGTGATAATAAGAAGCAGTGAAGCCTTAGTGGCTGCTCATCCATGTGTGGAAGTGATTGTTAGTCGCCTGGTTAACCTCGGTGTAGTGCGGGTTGCTTGCCAGCAGAGTGCATCAGTCACCTCTGATACAGGCTGCTCCAACTACAGGCTGCCAGTGTCAGCTTTAGGCTGGCAGAGCAGTGTATGCATGTATGCACACATACTTTAAGGCTGAATCCCTACATCTAGTATTAGTCAGCTACAGTGTAACAGGCTGGACGGGGCTTCAATTCTTGGATGCTCTGACTCTGTTGAGCATCCTCTTGTGGTTGCCATGATTGTGATGGCTGCATCAGCAGCGTGGAGGGAAGTGGAAGCAGGATATTTCCAGTGACCTTGGAAAGCACCACAAGGAGACAAAAGGCAGAGTCAAGCTGAAATAGAAATTTGGGTGTGCGGAGACGTCGCTGTGGGGTGTATTGCACGCCACAATGCAACGTGATGAATCCTCGACTTAATCTGAGAGATTAGTCTTTGTCCCGTGATGCATTTCTCATGTCTCTTCATCCACACAGTGCAGCAGCCAGGCGCTGATCAAGTCTCATATATCATGATTGCAGAATAGCACAAGGACAGCAGACTGCCTCTGTCTGCAGCCTGCCTGATTGATCCCTCTCCAGATTAGCTGCAGTCTCGCCTTGAGAGCGCAATGAAGGAGAATTGTTTTGAGATGACAAAGGGTCGTCTTTCTGTCTTGTGCCTTTGTATGATGGATGAGCTTGTGTATCTGTGTGTGCCGGCTGAGCCCATTTTACTGGCAAACCCCCTTTTGTTGCCGGAGAAAGGAAAGAGGGTTAAGAGAGAGAGAGAGAGTGACAGAGGGAGAGCGAGAGGAGGAGGGTGATGGAGACCGAGCGCAGGAGAGGGAGGAGGGGGAAGAGATCGAAAAAGGGATGCAGGAAGGGGGGTTACGCACACACACACACACATACATATACGCACATACACACACACACAGTTGGGAGCATCCTCTTTTTATATATTCTGCTTTTAGAACAGAGCATGAGCGCGCAATGATCCAAAGCACTGGAAATGAGCTTTTTGGGTAAAACGGCAGGGGACGGCAAATAGGCGAGCTGCGTTTGAGCCGCTGCTCTGAGCTAAGATTTGGCTTGTTGGAGGAGCTTGCTGAGGTCCAGGACTGCGGCTGCACACAAAGAGAGAGCCACCTCCTCCAGCTGCGGGGAATATGTGAGATGCCTTAGTGGCAGGTAACATAAACATGCGTTGACTATATATTCATCTGAGCTTCTGGTGGTTGATATTTGTGAGGAAATAATGTCACGCTTGTGCATTAGCATGCTCTAGTTTGAAGAGAGGAGGAGAAGGTGTGAGCGTCATGGAAGAAGTGATGCTCAAGCACGCCTTCGGTGAAAACTTTGAGATTTTTGCTGTTTTATTTTTATTCAAATCTTTTAAATCGAAACCTTCTTTTTTTTATCTGTGATTCAGTCCGTAATCCTTCTCATCATAATCTCTTTGGCTCGTTGACCCGTCGGTACCTAATTTAGCTGTTTGGTCGGGACTAGTATTTCAGATTCTCGCAGTGTACAAGAGCTCTTCCATCATGAATTATTTAGATACAAATTTCTCCGACTGTTCGTTCGTTGTCACTGTGGTTTGCCGTGTTACTGCTGAGCAGTAACTGGGTCGCTGCGTGTTGTATAACAGTGTATCTGGATGAGTTGCTAACAGATATAAATAACCAGAACTTCCCTTGGCTTCGAGGCCTTTGAAGTCGCTGCTACAGTAATGTCTATCAACAAATTCCCAAACTACAGTGAAGCTTTGATCTTTTCAGTTTTGGGGCATATTAAAAATTAGTGAGGAGGAAGAGAAAAAGAAATATTCTTTAAATCTGCACCACCTCCAAGTTCTGAAATGCTAACAGCTGATCTATTATACATTTCATACTGCAGGATTTATAGTGAAGTGCTGCTGGCAGATGATATATATCCTCCTTACCTGCCAAATAACTTAACCACGAAGGCTGTCAGTCACATTTAAAGATCATTTGTCGGAATTCCTTTTTTTTTACAAAATCTTCACATCCTCCTTTATTAATGCATTATTTCCCTACAGTGCCTTGGTGCTTGATTTTCATCACACTTTTTCACTCCACTGTTCAGCGTAAAAGTGGTTTTACTATTTCATGCAGAAATGGGTCCTTACATGAAGTTCTCCTTGTATACCAGGTCATATACAGAGAGGTTGTTGTATTAAACTCATCAATTATTTAGCACCACAGCCTTCTCAGCGTTAGCTTCTCTGTCTCTCCGTAGCTGGCCTTTGCAGAGGGGCAGAGTGAAGGACCAAAGGCTGGGCTGGACTCCAAGGAGCTGGTCTTTCTGGTCCAGATCACTTGCCAGGTAACATTACTTGCTACTTTTGTGAACGAGATTAGATCGCACGACGTCGTATATTTCTTTCCATTTCCGTTTATCATTTGTTCGTCCTCTCAGGGTCGAAACTGGCTGGTGAAGAGGTCTTATGAAGACTTCCGGGTGCTGGACAAGCATCTGCACTTGTGTATATACGACCGTCGTTACTCCCAGCTCACTGAGCTGCCGCGTTACGACACGCTGAAGGACACCGATGAGGTATCTATATCCATAACGTATAAGATCACAGATTTGCCTGAAGTTATCTGTTTAATGTTACAGTCAGTTTGTCTTTTACAAATCTTGATCATGTGCTTCCTTTCAGTCAGTAGCCACAATGTTGGCAACCTACCTGTCCCGCTTCTCTAACATCGCTGACAATAAGATCAACTGTGGTCCGGTATTAACATGGATGGAGGTATCTGTTTATCTTTTTGGTGATTTTTTTTTTCTGACATTTTGCTTTTGTTGCAGAAAAACGTAAGTTTTTGATTTTAATCAGGAATTAGCACAACAGCACAACAGAATTTAGAGTGTCCTGGGCAAGACTGGTAGCATTAACCCTCCATATTTCTGATGGTGAGAGAAACCAGAGCTCCAAGATCATATCATCACAAGCATGAAAGGACTTGGGCGGTTGTCAGTGTATTTTGCCAGTGAAGTAGTGCGTCTCCTGTAGCTCATTCGCCTATAAAGATTACATTTGATGCCCTCCCCTGTACCCTTAATGACGATTTTGGACATTGAGTGGTTATAAACATGCTTTGAAGGCCATTAATAATAGTTTAATAGTAGCTGCATAGGCAGAGATGTCCCTCACTAACGTCTGATGCCACTCAGTTAAAAAGAATTAGCTTCAAGCGTTACCCCTAGAAGGCTTGGTAAAGAAACAAGCAGTAAGACACAATTCAGCTGTCTGCTAATGAGAACTGTCAGTTCAAGTCGAACCATAATATGCTGGCTCTTGTTGCACTGAATTCTTTTTCATAAAACAAGGCAGTCACTTAATGTCAAGCCCTTTAAACCATTTTAAGTATTTACTGTCCGATCAACTGCTGCTAAAAAAACAATCAGTTTAATCGCTTATGCTACATGCAGTGCATTGTTCAGGCTCTGCTTTAACAGGGAACGACTGATATTAAGTCAAGTTGCAGGTAAAAAGAAAATATTTTTGTTCCCTCTCTTCTGCTTCCTGTCTCTGTTACTTTTACTGCAGTGACAGAGCTCCCGTTCCCTGCTTCCTGTGCTTAAGAAAAACTGGGCTAACACGTCTCTGTTGTAACACTTTTTATTTTTAGATCGACAACAAGGGGAACCATCTGCTGGTGTCTGAAGAAGCTTCAATCAATGTCCCCGCCATCGCCGCTGCCCACGTCACCAAGCGGTACACAGCCCAGGCCACAGACGAGC